CCTTAAAACTAAAACTATCTTCAAGGAAAAGACCAGAAAGTTTTAGTAAGGAGTCGAAAAAGAGATTTAATTTCAATGATGTTGCAAATGAGGAGCAAACAAGGAAGATTCCAAAAGAAACTCAAAATTGCATGTACCTGGTCAGCAGGGCAGACAGTGACATCAACAGTCATGGAGGATAATCAAGGAAATGTCTTAAATGCCTGGAGCTGGCAGCCCTGAGGCAAGGCGAAAAGTTCCACAGGCACCAGCAAAGCTTCTCAGGTTGCCACACAGGAAACACCTGCCTGGCCCTCCCCTCCCCTCCCACCCATGGGAGGTGGCGCAACCAGCTGAGTTGGCTTCTCCATGCTGCACCAGCCTCGGCACATGGCCGGAGCGGAGCTTGCCATGCCTGCCACTAGATGCCAGCCAGCTGAGGGAGCAGCGACTGCACAGGGGCAGGCTGGGGCGAGTTGCCCGCCTCCCTTTCCCATCGGGGGCTGCCGCCGGCTCCATAAGCAGGCGTGCCAAGTGGCATTGCTGCTATCCTCCTGCTCCTCCAGCTCGGCTTCCTTTGTGTGGAGCCACTGTCTTGTCAGGCCGTGGAGGCAGTGAAGGGAGTGGGTGAGAAGCACTGCAGGTGGCTGCTGTCAGGGTGGCTCGGCTCCCTTCCTCCAGCACGAGGGCGAGGCGCTGGAAGCAGAAGCAGTGCAGGCTCCTGCTCTGGACAGCCAGGGCGCCTGCTGCTCTCCCCGGCGAAGGCAGAATGGGGTGCCAGAGGGGTGAGCAGAGCAGGGCTTCTGGTGAGGGACGGGTGGGGCGGGCTTGGAAGACAGCTGAAACACAGTTCCAGTGTGTTCCGGCCAAAAAATAGGCCTAAGAAAACAGATGTCTTGGCAACAGACAGTAGCAAATTCCTCCCTTAAGCATTCTTCTCCCACTCACCCACTGCCCCACCCACCCCAATTTCTTGGCCCAGACCCCCCTGTCTTACTTGAGTTCAGGATGTTGTCCATGGAGATACATTCATAGGAGGAGATGGCGGCGCTGAGGCTGCTGGCATCCCAGAGAGACAGACTGAGAGGGGAAGCATCGCTCCATTCCCAGATCATGTACTGAGGAGGGAGACAGAGAAAATACCTTGTTAGGAAAGGCAACTGGAGGAGAAAGGAGGCCAGCAGACACCTCCAATGATTCAGGGCTTGTAGCACCTCTTCCGTAGTAGGAAAAAGCTAAAGCTTTTGGGGCTATTTCTTAACTGAAAGTCTGCTGAAGGGGAGGGGAAACAAGGTGGCTGTTTAAAAATTATAAATGACGCGAGTCATTTAAAAAGGATGCGGATGGAATAGAGCGTGTGCAGAGGAGATCAACAAGGCTGATCGGGGGCCTGGAGACCAAGAAGCCCTATGAGGAGATGCTGAGGGACTTGGGAATGTTCAGTCTGGAGAAGAGGAGGCGGAGGGGGGACAGGATTGCTCTCTTGGAGTCTTTGAAGGGCCGTGTCACTTAGAGGAGGAGGGCAGGGAGCTGTTCCTGTGGGCAGCAGAGGAGAGGACTCGTGATCATGGGTTAAAATGAAGGGCGGGAAGGATATTAAGGAAAACTAAATGTTAAGGAAAGAGTTGTGCAACAGTGGACTCAGCTGCCTGGGGAGGTGGTGAGCTCCCCCTCCCTGGCAGTCTTCAAGCAGCAGCTGGACGAACACTTGCCAGGGATGCTCTAGGCTGATCCTGCATTGAGAAGGGGGCTGGACTAGAGAGCCTCTATGGTCCCCTTCCAACTCTATGATTGTAAGTATGTAGTTGTTGCTTCTTCTCTGGTTGGAGGGTCACATCCAATAAAGGTGATAGGCATATACTGAGGATTGAGAGGAGGAATTAATACTTCACAGAGATGGTGGTCCCTTTTCGTGGGCCACTGAACACTGACAGACAAAGAAGAGAGATCACAGGGCGTTCTCGGGGTGTGGCCAAATACTGCAATAGGATCCACTGGGGAAGCCAGTGGGAAAGGGTCTTAAATGGGGCACCTACCCCAGAGCTGCGTGTCCCCTCCAGACCGATCCAAACACTGCTGGCGCTCTTGCGACTCAGGTAGGAGGCAACTATTTTCCCCTCATTTGGCGAAACAATGGAAGCCAGGTGGGCCTCGGTACCGGAAGCAATGCTCTGGCATCTGACCTGCAAAGAGAAGACAGAAGACATCCCAGTTACCCACAGCTCATATGTGTCTGCATTGCTGTGGAGGGAGGGTCACTACTACTTCGAGTCCCCCAGTGAGAGGACTGGAAAGAGTCAGCCCCAACATGGCAAACAACCTTTGGTTTGCTGTGGTGCAGAATCATGCCTCACACACACCCTGCAACACATTGCTGCTGTTGTGCGGCCCCTGCATTTCCCTGCAATTGCTAGACTTGTGCATTTCTGTTGATATTTATTATAATCAGTACAAAAAGGGGCTCCATAATTATTGTAACTGATATGAAACCAAAACAAATTCACCATTGAAATGGCATATAATGGTGGGGGTGGGACATGAGGGGTTGGGGGGGCATTTGATCTGATTTCTTCTGCTATTGCTGTCTCTATTTGTTTCATTTTTAAAAAGCAGCCTGTGTTTCCCCCATAAGGGCATAAAGAGAGCACCGTGTTCCTTAGGCAGAGGGGGAGAGAGGGCCTTTGGGCTTTCCTGACAGACGATGTGCTGTAGTACTAGGGCTTTTTTTCTGGGGGAATGCACCAGAGTGGAGTTCCAGAACCTCTTCGACAAAATTCTTTTTAAAATGTTTAAACTTTCATGAGTTTTTTGTATACAGATTGAAAATTTCCCTCTTGAGAGTTCTGGCACCTCTTTTTCCAGAAAGAAAGCCCTGGCTGCAGTCACAAGGATGACACGTGTGTGTGTGTGTGTGTGTGTGTGTGTGTGTGTGTGTGAGAGAGAGAGAGAGAGAGAGAGAGAGAGAGAGAGAGAGAGAGAGAGCGCATTGGAAAGTTGGAAAGAGCATTGAAAGTGGATTGAAGGTAGATTATTTAGTGCAGGGGTGTCAAACATTTGACCCGGGGGCCGGATCAGGCCCCCCCCGGAGGGCTTCCATCAGGCCCACAGTGGAACTGCATCTCCTGCTTCCAGTTTTGCTGCTGCATCATAGCTTGCTTCGCCAGGCTCTCTTAATCGCTCAGCCACTTCATGTTTTAAACCTGGGTCCTGGACTCAGAACTCTGAGCATGAGATTTCTGTGGTGAATGTCAGCAAATCAAAAGTAGGTTTGCAGCTTACAGAGTTAATGTTTTAAGCATGTTTTTATTTTACGTTAAAATCTTTGTGTTTGTGTCCTTTATAAAGTTTATATCTCCGCTACCTGGCGTTACATTTTATGTCACACATGGCCCAGCCCAACAAGGTCTCATTTATGTCAGATCTGGCCCTCATAACAAATGAGTTCAACATCCCTGATTTAGTGTGTGTGACTGCAGCCTGAGTACCACAAGGTAGGTAGGTAGGTAGGTAGGTAGGTAGGTAGGTAGGTAAGTAGTGACAGCTTATGGACCAACCAAAGTTTGGAGGCTGGGAGGTCATCCACAATAAATCAAAGAGTGAGTCCTTTGAACTGTTTTATAGCAGCTGATTGCAGGAGCGTCTCATCCATGGGATAATGGAGGTAAGTGTGATCATGATTATCCAGATCAAATATAATCTGGTTAGAACCAGAGCAGTTTAACTCACTCTCAGCACAAACACCGCACTGTGTGTTTGTCACAGATTGCCTTTAGTACACAGAAAATGTTCATGATTCCACTCTCTAGTATCTGACTGTGGTTAGCATTTGGACTTTATCAGCCCGGTTCCCTGAGCCACCCTGAGCCTGCATTCTGGGGAGGGTGGGGTATAAATGTGATTAATAAATAAATAAACTGGTGTGACTACTCCAGCCTTTCCAGTCTCCTCCACATCCTTTGTCCTTCCTATAACCATCTTACAGGTTCCCTTGGAGCAGTGTATATGGTGTTTTGTGACCACTGAGGAGTTATACTATTTCTCCTCTTCTTTCACTCTCTTATTAGAGGGTACCAATTAGGAGTGTTATTCAGCCCCAGTTTTCCTTAAACTGCTGGCTTGCCATTTTAGTCAGCTCCAGAGGCCCCTTTCTTCTCAAGAGCTCTTCAGCTAACTCTCCTCCAACTGACTCTGTCAACTGTCAGCTCTAAACTGTCAGCTGTTAACTGTTAACTGTCACTTACTGAGAATCCCGAGCAATCTTGCCCCCACCATTCTCAGTCATGTAACTCAGCAGCTGTTTTTTTTACCTGCACCAAACCTTTATTTCTGTCACAGAAGGTATAAATAAATAAATAAATAAATTGGTTTTCCCAGTATCCTCTTTCTCCAAAATATTCTGCCTTTCCCATGAAGTCTGACCCTCACAAATTACCTGATGCTGCTTCTCTGCTCACACTTCCTGTGCCTTCCACTGGAACTCCCCTTGCCTCCTCCCCCATTGTAGAACAATAAGAAATCCCCACCCCTTACCTCTGCAAGATGCCAGGAGACATAGCTATTATCATATTGGTAGCAGAACTGCTTGTAGTTGAGCACACCAGCAGGGCATCGTGCACGGGCTTCAACTGCTGTGCCATTCTTGGCACCTGTAAGAGAGAGAGAACTGTTTGCAAAGGGAGCAAGAACCCTAGACAACTAGCAGGATCCAAGCCCAGGAACTGACCTGGATCCAGTGGAGACCCACTGAGAAGCACAGTTTATACACTAAAGGGAGCCAGGACATAACTTGGAAATGGTTTGCGTAGCAATTTCACCTAACACTCACCTTCCACCAAGCGGTTCAAGAGCAAGCATCCCAGGAGACAAAGGTAGACGACCTGTCCCATCTTCTTGTTTTCCTGCAAAAGAAGGAGAGAGGGAGACTGCCAGGGGCCTTGCCTGTCTTCCTGAAGGGAGGTTGGGGTGCTGAAGCTGGATCGGACAACCCCCAAATGGTGGTGAAGGGGACAAGACCGACCTGTTCCAAGGCAAAGAGTGTAGAAGGGAGAAGCATGGTTCACCATGCTGTGGAAGCTGTAACGCCCATTTTAATCTTGTTTCATTTTCAAGAAGCAACAAATACAAGAGAGCGAGTATGTATCTGTTTGTTCACTAACTGCTGAAGACCCTGATTAAAAGACCTCTTAAAGGCTATCTCCATCTTGAGAATGTAAGAGTGGCTGTGAAAAGGAGTGGAGCAAAGGCTCGGAAAATGGCGATGGCAGGGGAGATTGACGATATTCCAGCAAAAGAAACTGTACTGGTAGAACTTGGCCAACTAACTCGGAATCAGTTTAAGGAATTTTTGATCAACCAGGTGAGGAAGGCTGCAGAGGAAGCATGCAGAAATATTTGCAAGAAATTTCAAAATGTTGATCTGAAATCACAAATCAAGGAAAATAGGGAAGAGCCAATGCCCTATCTGCGAACTGTGGTTAGTTTGGAGACGGAGCGGGAAGACAAGCAAAAGAAGGAAATAACTGAATTAAACTTTACACCGTTGAAAAAGAAGAAAGATGTTTCCATGAAAGAAAAAGAAAGAAAGAACTGTATAAAACAATTTGAGAGTGCAG